TCTGACACGCTGTGTAAAAATATTCCCCTAATAATCGTGCTCGCAGCAGAGGGAATGGCACAGGAGGGGGTGCAGCGGCACTGGTTTCTAGGTATCCAAGGTAAATATGTCAGCGCGGCAGAGAGGAGCGAGCAGGCAGGACTCAAGATGGCAATGGAGAGGGTACAGCGCTGGCGCTGGCCGCTGCAGATGGAGACAGCCCGGCTGGTGGCCTGGGCTGCAGGAGAAGGTGCGCTGGGGGCTGCGGGGACAGCCAGGGTTTCAAGACCAGGGGGAGGGATGCATTTCTCTCTCTCTTCTTCTGCATCATCCTGCCATGCAGCTCCTCTGCCGAGCACCAGGAGCTGGAGCAACGTGCTTCATTTCCAGCCCGGAGGTGAGGACCTCTGCACCGTCACCAGTGAGCAGAGCTTGGCCGGTGTCACCAGCCAGCGCTGGCACCTGCAGTGGAGCCGGGGTGGTGGGACACACCGAGAGCCTGGGGATGGGTGCAAAGGCAGGAGGGGACGAAGGCACGCTCCCTTCTGGGCACACACGTGGCCTCAGGCAGGGCCAAGAGCAGCTCCTGACCTGGCTTTAGGGATGTCCCCAGTCCCCACAAAGGGATGGAGAGTCTCGTGCAGGCAGTGGCAGATGGGCGAGAGTGACCCTTGGTTTTAGACACACAGGTCTGATTTCTTGCCTGGAAGTTTTTGCTCCTGATTCCTCCCCTTCTGCTGCTGCTGATGGAGCCAGGCGCTTGCAGAGGGTCTTCCCCAGCAGGGACAGGGGTGCCATGATCAAGGCAGCTCTTGCCCCAACTGCATTAAATGAAACAGCTTGAACACCTCTTACCTCTTGCTACCGGCCAGCGCTTTCTGCAATAACTTGCAGCTCTTTGACAGGATCCTTCCAGCGCATCCCAAATTTGCTGGACGCACGTGACCCTGCGAACGCTGCCCGCGGTGGCAGTAACACCCGCAGCCGGTCACTGCACGTCCGTTGCCTTCCCTTTTTCCCCTGGCCGGGGGCAGAGCTGGCTCCTTTTCCCCCAGCTCTTTTCGCACGTCCTGCTCTCTGGCTCCAGTCCCCTCCTTCCCGCAGACCTGCCCCACGCCGCAGCACCTGGACAGGTGGCAACACATCCGTGGATGGAAGCTTTAATGAGAACAGCACTAATGATGTGATAACAAGACATTCCCAGCACTTGCTGCAGCCGCTTTGCTAAGCAGGGATTTGCTATGCATCTTATTTTGCTCTAGTTTCATCCTGTTTGGAGAAATCCATTGCCTTCTCTGAGCATGGGAGATGTTGTAGGTCCTCTCCAGGGTTTTCCTCCCTTTCTCCAAGATTTGCTTGTTCCTGGCCAAAGCCTTTGCTCTGCTTGGTCTTGGATGGCTCAGGCAGCTTAGGGGAGACTCGGGGCTCCCCACTATCCAGTTGCGTGAGCTCGAGCTGGGAAGGAGAAGGCTTTTTGGAGAGCTTGGTGTGGAGATGCGGCTGCTGGCTCTGACTCGCGGAGTGCTCAGCCTGTGGGCACAGAAGAGCTGCAGAGCCCTGGGGGCGCAACTGTCCCTTCTCACAGGAACCTGCAAGAAACCTCCAACCTGGGACAGCCCCAAACACCTTTGAAAGGCACCGTTGGGCATGGGTGTGGGGGGACAGAGCGAGGCAGCAGGGTCCTCATCCCCCACACACTCCCTGCCCAGCCTCCTGCCAGCACAGACATGGCTCTTCCTTCGCCAAGGTGCTTCAGGATGTCACTGAGCATCCTTGCACCATCCCAGCCCTGGGAACAGGGCACATCTTGGCAAGAAGGGCCACTGGGTCAGTGCCAGAGGAGGTGGCATCACCTGCTCCCTGCAGCCCCTGGGACAGGGGGGTGCTGGCATCGGGGCACCTCTGGGAGTCCCATCCCTGGTCTTTGGGGTTTGCAGCAGCGAGGGGCTGTGTGGACGGGCTCTGTAGGGGTCTGGCATATGCCTTTCTGTCGCCTGTTTAGGTCCGCGCAGGGGAGCCAAGAAATCTCTTAACTAAATATACAGCTCTCTCGTCCCAGATGGCATCTGTTCATACGCCAGGTACAAACAGTCCCCACGGCTGCCCCGCTCACAGCCAGGCCAGTTCTTTCCACAAAAAAGCAGTCCCCGAGGGCCAGCAGTGCCACGCGCTGGGAAGGCAGACCCGCGCTCTGCCCCAGCACAGACACCACCGGCCTGGGCCGGGGAAGACACCACGGCTGGGGCATCACCTGGAGGAGGAGGCCAGCCCTGGCTGCAGACCAGGGTCTCTGGACTCCGATTTGGGGATTCAAGGCACTGGGTGAAGCCGCGGTGCTGTCCTAGCCCTGGGGGGGTCTAGGGAGCTCCTAAAGGCATCACAGCTGCATCTCCCAGAGGCATCTTTCTTCCTCCTTTCCCTGAAGTCCTAAAGTCCCCCCAGCAAGTGTGACATTCGCTCTGCCACCCCCTCGCCTTGGTGCTTCCTCTTCCTCCTGCCGCCAGCATCACTGTCAGGTCGCCAGCATCGCTATGGTCAAGCTGAGGACGCCCAGATTAATCCCGCAGCTGTAGATCTGAGCCTGACCTGACCGGGCTCCCAGCTAGCAGTGTCTCAGCACGTCGCCCTCTGCTCATCTCCGGACAGAAACACCACGGCACCGGCTGGCACGCAGAGCCGAGCCGTGCTTGCCAAAGCCAGGCACCCAGGAAGAGCTGGGCCAGCCGCGAGGGGCAGGAGGTGCGTGCTCCCCGGCTGCGGAGCAGGGAGAAGGAGGTTTAAACTGCCAAACCCAGACCCAGACTTTACGGTAGGATCCTCCCCTGCACAGCAAACGTGGTCCCAATGTCAGGGGTTCATCTGTCTTCCGTTCTCTGTTCGCAGCATTGGCTCGTCTCTGGTGGGAGCGGAGGTGTCTCATATCTGATGTTCGGGGAGGTGAATCCTGCCCCGGTGACCTGCTCCTGCTGCATTGCTGTAACAAAGTCTTGGTCGTGTGCCTGCGTCTCTCCAGGCACACGAGGAAGCGAATCCGGTGCCATAAGAAAACCAGCAGGCTGGAAGGCTGCGTGCACCGAGCCGCCATCGAAGGCTTTGATTGCAGAAGCAGAACACGTCGAAACGGTGCTGATGGGAGGCTCTTCCCAGCCCCATCGGCCATGGGTGAAGGCTGCAACGAGGCATTCGTTGTGTCCTGGAGCTGCCGGTGCTGGTCGTGGTCAGCAGCAATGCACAGGACAGGCTGTGCCACGGGCGAGGCTCAGGTGCTTGACAGAAGTACCAAAAATTACGTGAAAAGGGGGTTTGCCTGACAAGGGGCAAATGATCAAATGGCCCTAAAGCATGAAGGTAAAGAGGAAAATCCTTTTCTGCCAGAGGCAGTTTGTAAGTAAATAGCCATCAAGTCTTGGGGTTGCATCCCTCTGCATGCAGGGAGGATGTAGTCGCTGCCTGAAGGTCAGCGTTGGAGAGCCGAAAGCCAGACTAAGCTCCTCCAGCATATCGAAGTCCCGTGAACACAACAGTGGCATCGTGATAAGCGTAAAAGCAAAGGCAAAAATTGCTTTTGAAGAGTGAATATACAAGGAGGCAGACAAAACGAAAGCACTGATGCTCGCCAGCCCACTGAGGAATGAGCCGGCATCTTGGCTGGCCTGGAGATAAAAGAAGAAACTCGGGAGGTCCAGGGCACTGCTGCGTGACTTCTAGGCACAGGGAGACGGGGAGGTCCCAGGGGCAGGGGAAGGGGGTGCCAGCTGCAGTGACGTGGCTTTGCTTAACCCACACGGCAAAATCTGCATCCTTCCCCAAGACCGCCCCGGTTAAGCTCTCCCCTCCTGTGCTGCCTTTGGACGCTGGAAGAAGGTGCGCTGGGAAAACATCGTGCATTACAGAGCAATAAACGCCGTGTCCCCATTTCCTTGGTTTTCTCCAGGGAGCCGAAAAATGCAAACTCACGTTAAGAGGAGGCCGGTTTCGGAGGGTTGGGTGCAACTGCTTCATCAGCAGTGTCACCTGTGTCACCGGCTGTGGACGCTCCCCTGCTTGCACACGCGTCCAGGCCAGCACGGGAAGCGTGTTGGGCTCTAGACCGGGCAAAGCTGCAGAGCATCCAGCTGGAAACCATTTCGGAAAGCTGGGAAAGCACCTGGGGTTCACAGAGGTATAGGCACTAGATCCATCCCTGGTTAAAAGGGTAATTAAAAAGAGGATAACAGAAGGTGATTAAAAAGAGGATAACTCGTAGGAGGTATGATAGGAAGGGGTCAAACAGCGCAGTCTGCTAAGGGAGATCCATCCTGCCGCTTGTTAGGTTATCCTCTGTTCACTGGGGGTGAAGGAGGGCATCCTGCAGACCTCTGGAGCCCTTTGGGAAGGGACTGGAGGCAGAAGGAGAGCAGAGGTGCCTTGGAGAGCTGCAGCGGGACCTCGGCACACCTGGGTCCTGCAGGCTCTGCCTACATTCAGGCCACTCGGATGCTGAACCCTCCCCTGGACCCGGGACCTCGGCTGGGTTAAACTTTCCTCTTCCAAAGCACAACCACAGGCTGCAGTGTGTGAACATGCGGTGGTAAATCACTCAGGTGAGATGGAGGAGACTCTGACCTGTATTCAGGGCTAAACCATCATGATTTGGAGCAGGTCGCTTACCTCCCTGAAGAGTCCTGGCCGCGGGTCTGTCCCCTGCCACGGCACAGACCAGCGCTAGCTGTCCTCGTGCTCCCCCACGGCACCTCCCCATTGCCTCCTGGGGAGCCTGCCCGATGCTCTCACCGGGTTTCTATCATAAATGCCTGTTTTAGGGCAGCTCATCCCTCATAGGCGTAGTCTAAGACCGTCCTGAGACCGGACTGTCCTGCATCCTCCCACGCATCTTCCCCGGCTGCGGTGCTGCCCCGTGGGTCCCCGTGGCTGCTCCCGTGTGACAGAGGAGCAGAGTTGGTGACGATGATACTGGGGTGGCGAGTCTGGAGGTCGGAGGCATCCGTCTCTGTAACGCCTCGGTGTTTTTCTCTTGCTAGGAAAGCAGATCGAGCGAGAAGAATAAGGGAGCCAAGAATGAAGAAGAAAAGGGAAAGGAAGCTCCTTCCAAAGACCTGGCCCAGAAACGAGATACAAAAGTGGGGAAAGACTCTAAAAAGGAAGAAAGCGTTCAGAAAACAGACCCAAAAGTTAAAGCTGAGGCTGCGACCAAGACCAAAGAGGAGAAGGCTATCAACGACAAAGTCAAGGCCATGGAGAAAAAGCTGATGGGGAAGGACAAAAAGGAGGACGAGAAGGGCTCAGTGTTGAAGAAGGACATGGGGAAGTATAAAAAGGAGGAAGAAAAGGGCTCAGCATTAAAGAAGGATGCAGGGAAGGATAAAAAGGGGGAAGAAAAGGGCTCAGCATTAAAGAAGGATGCAGGGAAGGATAAAAAGGAAGAAGAGAAGGGCTCAGCAGCAAAGAAGGAGACAGGGAAGGACAAAAAGGAAGAAGAAAAGGGTTCTGCATTGAAGAAGGGCACAGGGAAGGACAAAAAGGAAGAAGAAAAGGGTTCTGCATTGAAGAAGGGCACAGGGAAGGACAAAAAGGAGGAGGAGAAGAGTTCAGGATCAAAGAAAGAGGCAGAAAAAGACACAAAGGGAGAAGATAAGAAAGAAAAAGATAAAAAAGAAGAGCAAAAGAGTTCAGCTTTGAAAAAATCAAAGGCAGACGAGAAGGAGAAATCCCAGCCAGAGGCAGAAAAGGCAGCGGAGGGCAAACAGGAGGCCAAGGCAGCGGCCGAGAGCAGCCCCTCCAAGCCCACCACCGGCGGCTCCCCGGATCAGGCCAAGGATGACGAAGCCTCCAGCATTTTCGATGAGCTCATCGAGAAGGTGAAGAACAACGATGCCGAGGTCACCGAAGTGAACGTGAACAACTCGGACTGCATCAACAACGAGACCCTGGTGCGCTTCACCGAGGCCCTGGAGTTCAACACCGTGGTCAAGCTGTTCGCCTTGGCCAACACCCGTGCCGACGACCACGTGGCCTTCGCCATCGCCATCATGCTGAAGTCCAACAAGGTGCTGACGAGCATCAACCTGGACTCCAACCACATCACGGGCAAGGGCATCCTGGCCATTTTCCGGGCGCTGCTGCAGAACAACACGCTGACGGAGCTGCGTTTCCACAACCAGCGGCACATCTGCGGGGGGAAGACGGAGATGGAGATCGCCAAGCTCCTGAAGGAAAACACCACGCTTCTGAAGCTGGGCTATCACTTCGAGCTGGCCGGACCACGCATGACAGTCACCAACCTGCTGAGCCGTAACATGGACAAACAGAGGCAGAAACGCCTCCAGGAGCAGAAACTGGCACAGGAGCGTGGAGAGAAGAAGGACCTCCTGGAGGTGCCCAAGCCCGGAGCCCTGCCAAAGGGGTCCCCCAAGCCATCCCCGCAGCCGTCCCCCAAGGCTTCCCCCAAAAGCTCTCCCAAGAAAGGGGGGGCGCCCGCCGCACCGCCCCCGCCTCCTCCTCCCCTCGCCCCACCGCTGATCCACGAGAAC